ACACTTTTATTTTTTTAACACGTTTATTAATGAATCATCAGACATTTCATTGCTTTATTGACTGTAGTAGTTTCCAATTGGAACTACACTAGCGCAGTGATATAAGTCACTTGGTATCACACATAATCGAAATAATAGGCAGTTGACAACTAACGCCCTCTGAAAATAACTAAAATCGATCTCTTTGGAGAACATCGTAGATCGGATCAATAATTTTTTCACATAAGATTTTAATATTTTGTAATCAAAAATTAATTTTCTTCAACTAGTAAATTTTCCTTTCAGATACCACACTTCTCTTGCAAAATAAAAATGAGAAACAGCGGTGGAAAAAATACTTTTATTATTCTAAAAGAGATCAAGTTAGCGTATCTAAAGGTGAATTGACTCAAACAAAAAATTTTTTGGAACCACGATCGCTGGGGTCATTTGTCTTATCATCATAGCAATTATTGTATACTTGTGTAACAGATAAAATTCAATTTTATCAACAATTAGAAGTGCATCTTTTTTATCCGGCAACGCCATACGCAACCGGTCCAATAAAACTGCTTACACACTAGTACACTGTACACAAATACTCGGGGCACTGGAGTGTTTATGAAAGTATGCGTCAGCCATCAAAAGATCATCGGCTGGATATTAGCGGAGTAGTGGGCCTTGTCTCTCTCTCTCTTTTTTTTTTTTTTTTTTTTTTNTATATTTAGAAAATGATTTTCAAAGTTAACAAAATATTATATCAAATGTAGAAAAATAATTTTGATTTCATTGACATGGCATTTACTGATAAATTTTTTTTACATTTTTTGCATAAAAAGAATTTACATTGAATATCAAAAAATAATTTTTCTCAGAAATGTAATAGTACGATATTATCAGAAAAAAAGTAAAACTTTTTTTGCCGTCTATAGACCAAAAATATAAAGCTTACATTAGAAGTACTAGTTTTTGCAACGCATAGCGTAAAAATTGCAAGTTAAACAGTTTAGAAAGTAGACGGATGAAGATGAGGCACCGATAAATTCCCTAAGATCCCAAAACGACCTTGCCATGTCACTTAAAAAACTAAACGAAAGTTCGCCTCCGTTTACATACGCGTCGAGAGTCGGCTAAAGCTGCTTTTGCAAGCTCACCAAGTGCCGGCCCAGCAATAAAACAGTATAAAAAGACGCGGCCTGGCTACTCGACGCAGCTGACACTCGATCTTATACTTGTAGCGAGGCGCAAATGGTTTTGGATTACATGGGTTTAAACGAGCCGAGACGCCAAGCACCGTGCTTTCCGAGTCTTTTTTTCTTGCTTGTTTATTGCTCTCTCGTTAAAAGCCCTTGGACAAACTTGGGGGATGAACTGCATGCTTTTTATGGAGAATTCATTGATTTTTAGTTTTTTCTTTGGTTTCAAAAAAATTTATTGAAAAATAGAATACAGATAAATCAATAGCATCGTATGTACCTAAATTTAATACTAACACTGTAGTGATACAGCTTGTTATAAGCTACAGTCCTAAAATTGGAGTAACCTATCTGTCGTAGACTATTTAATTAAGATACAAAATTTTTTATTTTTTTATTTTTCTAAGGTTTTATTTGTACTTATGCATTTTTCTTGCATTATTTTGTAACTAAAATAAACATTTAATTACAAAATAATGCAAGAAAAACTCAATAATTTAGATGTCATAACTAAATTTGATCCTCGAACGACTGCCGTGAGACCAGCTCAAAACTATTCTATAAGTAGGAACCTTTAAAATATCCACAACTCATCACTCATAAAATATTTAATCAAAACATTTATTAACTTCGTTACATACATATGTTTTTTGTATTTATATGCTTAAAAAAAACAGTGTAGTTGAAAATACGCATAAAATATTTAAAGAGTAGTACTATCATGTATATGTTTGTGTGTATGTATATGCGTGAGTTAGTTAATGATAAAATTTCACGAGTGTTTGCATGGAGAAAAAGTTTTTATTTTATGCCTGGTCCCTACTCGGAGCTCCTTGGTTTTCGGTGCAGATCCAATAATCATTATTGTAATGTTTATTATTGTGGTGCTAGCTCATATAACTATTTGATCATTATTTTAATGTACTATGCTAATTTATTACTACTGATTTTGGAAATTTCCTTAAAAAATCCTTTTAAAATCAAATAAAGTGGACATTTGTGATTACTTAAAGAAGCAAATGATTTTAAAAAATTTTTGTTTGTAAAATATAGTTGTTTTGTTTTTACTTCTTTATTTATTAATTTGCTCATGTATTGAGATTTCACGAAAAATAAAAGAGTATCCAATATTGATTAGTACAGGTACATTGAGGTAGTCATGAAGTAAATATAAAATTTCAATAAGTAATTTCTTTAATCTAGTCCACAATAATTAACTAGTTTAATCAATAAAGAAATAAACTTAACAACAGGTGTAAAATACTTAGCACTTTTGTAAGTACAACCACATTGAAGAATATTGAAAGTACCAAGAAATTTTATTCTAAACAGTTCTGCATATGATGCATGTGCCTTTACCAATACTGATTAGAATGTTATCTTTGAAACTTTGATAAAAGTACGATGTCAATTAAACTAGGTCTTTTATTATTAATTAAATTAAAAACAAGGAAAGTACAAGAAGTACTACTCAATTTATCAGGGTTTTCCGGCTGACTAATTATAAGTTTAGAGATTACATTGCTTCATAACAATACAATTTAATTCAATCAGTACAATGGGCTCATGATTTTAGAGCTAAGTTAAAAAGTTATGGCTCTAAAACATTCGTTCGTACGATTTTTTACTTAAAAAACGTGGATGAATGATGAAAAAATTAAAGAATTGTGATCTGTTTGATGATCCAGAGTTATTTTAATTATTGCATTGACTCACAGATACTATAATTTCTTTGTACGAAAATTATCTGAACTTGTCGAAAAAATAGCTGTGCGCTCACACCTGCGACAACAAAAGTGCTACAAGCATGAAAACATAAATATAAATGTTCGCCCAAGTAATTATTGTACAAATATGCTTATCGAAACGGCAGTTGAAACTGAAGCACACGCATCTCGATAAATCATCATCGATTTATCAAAATAACATAGTATGCTGAAAGTTCGACGGAAATGACACTCAAAAGAGCGAAGAGCCTTGAAATGACTTCAAAGACGAAAAAAATAGTAACAATAGCTGTGGTAAATAATCCCGTTATTATTTAGCGTTGCTAGTACGTAACTGCATAGTTTGCACTTGGTTTTGTTAAATCGTAAGAAGTATAGTCGCAGTAGTCGCTTGCGAAAGTGAAAACGTCATCATATTACAAGGAGTCCAGAGATCCACTGAAGCGTGTCATCGAGCTTTGACAATGACATTCATTCAAGTTTCGTCTTTCTTATTTTTCTTTTTTTAACCATTGAACGTACTAATTAATTACGAAAATGGTTATTTAAGAAAAATTATGTTTGGACATGTTTTTTTGAGGATCAAAAAAATTCTCTTCGTTTTTGGTTGCGTGAGTAACCATAACCAAGCGCTACATATTTTTACGGTGCTCTATTGCTTTCAAATTTATTAACGTTCTTTGGATTTTCCTTTCAGATACCACACTTCTCTTGCAAAATAAAAATGAGAAACAGCGGTGGAAAAAATACTTTTATTATTCTAAAAGAGATCAAGTTAGCGTATCTAAAGGTGAATTGACTCAAACAAAAAATTTTTTGGAACCACGATCGCTGGGGTCATTTGTCTTATCATCATAGCAATTATTGTATACTTGTGTAACAGATAAAATTCAATTTTATCAACAATTAGAAGTGCATCTTTTTTATCCGGCAACGCCATACGCAACCGGTCCAATAAAACTGCTTACACACTAGTACACTGTACACAAATACTCGGGGCACTGGAGTGTTTATGAAAGTATGCGTCAGCCATCAAAAGATCATCGGCTGGATATTAGCGGAGTAGTGGGCCTTGTCTCTCTCTCTCTTTTTTTTTTTTTTTTTTTTTTTTTTTTTTTTTTTTTTTTTTTTTTTTTTTTTTTTTT